AATCACTCGCCTGAGATCAGGAAATCAGAGAAAATAAATCTTCAAGTGGTTACTTAAACGTTAAATGGATAAAGAAAAAAAACAGCTCAAATGAAAAAATATCATCATTTACAGGTCATATTGTGAGCTTATTACCAAAGCCGTTTCTCAGTTCCTCAGCTCACCAAGGACCTAATTAAAGTAGCACCATCAGCACATGTAGGCTCCTTCCCCCTGTCACAGTCACATAAACAACTTAAGCAGCTAATTACAAGACAACAAATGATTTTCCACTGAGTGTACGTGGGCCTTACAGTGTTGTATTTATGGAGGCACATTTTCTTTTATGTCACTTGCTCTTGCTGCCACCTGTCCCTATAGATCAATACAATCATGGAACTCCTCGGCAAGAAGGCACACCATCACACAGCTTTCCCTTTCATTTGATCCCCGTACACTTCATAACAAAGTTGCCAACATAAGTCAGCCATGACAGTCTCTTCAATTATGTGACACTGGCAAAGAAAGGGATGTGATGGATTGGTGTCAAAGCTGTGGGGAGCCATAAGGCAGACAGAAAGCACGGGCTGCCCATCTGTCAACAATCTCAATTAACCACTGTACAGATAGAGGCACGCTGCTCTTTTATGCAGAGGCAACAAGGGTCTCTGTCACGACGGTGGGCGAGATCCCATATTTACAAAGAGAAAACTGTGTATTCAAGTGAGCTGGATTGGTCCATCCATCAGCAGGGGGGGTGAGTCAAATTGAAATTTGACATTTAGAGCCCCAACGCCTCTGCTCACTGGCACAGATATGAACTACAGCAAGTGACAAATTGTTTGTATCAGGCCTGTCCCTGGGTGAAGCCTCTGATAATGTTTAGGGTTGAAATAGGCACCCTTGACATTTCGCTGAAAGGTCAGGTTTTGTGTTCATTAATGCTCCCTTTTCACATACAGCCAGCAGTGGGATGAGGATTATTGTCATAATCTGGGTTTGGGCCAACTCGTCGATGCAGCCTCATTTGTTTTGACTCCTCGCAATATCGGGACACAAGGAGTCATGCACGGCAATGACAAACTGTCAGGAGCAAGATCACGGGAGGGTTTAACAGAGGCAGTCTTGTTGATTCAAAGAGTGTCACCTCCGTAAAGTTTCGACTCTTTTGTCTCTCTGTGCAAACTCCCAAATAGCTTATTTGATTAGCAAATAAATAATACGCAGCTCTCTCCTTGTATTCCAGCAAAATGGCAAAGTATTACAATAAATTCAAAACTCATCACTCTCTCTACGTGTGTGAAAAGATCGCTGACAATTTCACAAGGAAAAGCGTCCAGGATTAATTTGCTTCTGTAAGCAGGGTGTCCGTTTACAGCTAAATTAAGAAACCTATCTGTAATTCATTTAACGTCTGCACCAGACAAATTAGTGTCTTGGATCCGGAGCTAATAAACAGCTTGAAGCGGCGTCGATATGTACATGGTCCTACATTATTGCTGATAGCGTGTGTGGCATTTTTGATTAGCTCGGCTCCTCGGGGAACAGCGGGGTAAATTGGGCCGTTTTCTTTTCTTTCTCAGTGTCTGTTGGAAGCAAATACAAATAGATATCCTGCCAGTTTTTTTCACTTACAGTTGAGAATCCCGCATTAAATCTGATTTTCCTTTGGACACAAGATGATGGTTCACTCCCTCATTTTACCCTCAAATGCCCTTATGAAAAAATACTCTAGTATAAGTAGGGTGGCGATTGAGGCTTTTATCTGTTGCTCTCAGCAAGACTGGATTACCAACCAGGCACCTGCCACAGGGCCCAAACCTCCAGGGAGCCCCAAAAGCCCCAGGTTTACTGTGTTTTGTCGTTATTACAATTCCCTACTATCTGAGATATACTGAAACCAAGGTTTTTGTTGTTTTCTTAGCTCATGAAAAGTTGACACTTCAAAGATATGGCCCTTTACATGACAGCAACACCGTTCAATTTTGATTAAATTACTGTTTTAAAGGAGCTCTGTGATATTGAGAATATCAACAACAATCTGCTATCATGTAAAGATACAGAGTGCCTCAGGGATGATGTTTTTCTGTAGGCTGACGTGGAAGTTAGCATCGCATTGGTACCATTGTCAAAAAGCAAATAAGCTCTGTGGCAAACAAACATTTACATGATACTTACATGTTTTATTTAGCAAGATAATCTCGACAAATAAATACCACTTACGATAAGTGAAGCCTTAATGCCATTGCCAGACATAAAAAGTTAACATTAGGCTATACACAAACTACACTACGTTCACATGACCTATCGTCACCACTACAAGGCTGTAACCACGTTCAGCGCGGCGTGATGACATTCTGTGGTCTCATTTAGCCACTTGTTAGCAACCGCCTTTTATAAGACACATAAGAGCTTTAAAGTTCACAAGTGGGTTATTTACTGACGTATTTTATGTCATAGAACAAAACACTAAAGTCACTTAAGCTTGTCCTTATTTCAGGCATCTAACAAAAACCTACTTACTTCAAGATGAGGGAACCATGAGTGGGAAAATGCTAACTCGTTACTGGGGCACTCTATAGCAGAATTATGCCGTCAAATTCATGATACCTCCCTGCATGTTAGTGCATGTGAGTCCCGTTTGTGAATCTCACTGGCTTGCTAATCTCTGCTGCTCTGCACGATGCTCACACTGCATTGAATGCCACAATCAGGGCAGCATCGTTGTGAAAGCGTATTGCCCTCCCTCCAGTTTCCGCCCAGGTTGACACTGTTAGCTCTGTCAGAACTGCTGCCTCTGTTAGCACTGTTTGTGCTGTTAGCAATGCTCTCGTCAATGGCTGCTAACAGTTTAACTTTAGTTTGGTAGCAGTTTAGTAAATTTAAGTTTATTTTAAAAGCTTTAGGGATCTCCTGCCTTTTCGGCCCACTATGAGGTTTGAGTCATAATCATATAAAGTAATCAATCTATACCACTCTCATGTTTGTGCATAAAATATAAAGCTAATGGCGGCAGGTGGTTAGCTTAGCCTGCCTCCGTCCAAAGGTGTCAAGTTAACCTCATTAATTTACCTGCATTTGGGTTTTAAGCCTGTTTGTTACTAGCAGAAATTAGCATTAGTCTTTTCACAGTTAACTACATCTGTAACCAAGATAACAGCTAGCCTTAGGGTTTTCTCCACCCTCTCATCCAAATATGGTCACTTCTGCCTCCAAAATCCAAGATGGCAACAACAAAAATGTCAAACTCATGGCCTGAAAATGCAAGTCCAACATCCACTGGGTAATGTCATGTGGCTATGTCATAATTTTATACCGTCTATGGTACAAACAGCATGTGGTAGTTTTAAAAGAGGTCAGGGGCTGGACTATTTCTTGGTTGAGTGACTTCCTAAAGTCTCTGCTGGTTGACTGGCAACCCATGGTGAGCAATATGTCTTCAGAGGTTTCACACTGGTTCTGTAAAACTTTTATTATTTCAGTGAATAGTGTGCTCACATGATACCTATTCTATCAATCAAAATTATGACACAGCAAATCTGGGACCATGACACACTGTCGAGCAGAGGCTGAGGTGCAGCTGCTGGACAGAGCCATGATCTGTTTGGAGACCAGTAACAAAGAAAACAAATGCACGAAACATGTTGTCAGCATTTTCAAATTAGACAGCTTACTGTCTTGGTCTGACAAGATCGATCACATTGTCTCCATGATGGGAAGGGGCATTGCCATGTCAAGGATATGTTGGTTAATGTGGTTATGTTCCACTTTCTGTTATGAATGATGTTGTCCAGTCAGTCGCTCTGTCCCACCTGGAGTGCTGCCCAGTCATCTGGTCAAGTGCTGCTCAAAAACACCTGAAAATGCTTCAAATTGCACAAGGCAGCCAGATTAGTTCTTCTTTGTGCCAATGTGTGTGCATAATCGACTATCCTGTCTGACTATGGAGGCGAAACTAAAATCTAGTCTTTTGTTATCCATGCATACTGTCATCTTAAAAAAACACCACAGTTTTTTCGGTGATAAACTAGTATATAGTGGTTTTGTCATGGGTATGTGATAAGTCAAGTGAGCACTAGTCTCCTGGTGGCACCAAGTCTACCAACAAATTTTATGATGCAAACCGTTCTTTAAAGAGGGGTCTCAGCTTGGGATGTGCTCCCCACATGCATTAGACAGATTAATAATAAATATTCCCTCGCTAAAACTGATGAATCACATGTAAAATTTGTTATGGCATTTATAATAAATGTTTTATTTGGTACAGTGAGTTTGTGACAGTTTTGTTTTTTCATTTTTTGTCTGATATTGAATGTTATTGTCTTATTGATACTGTGTGATTTCAAATTGATGTATTTTTAATGTTGTTTTGTCAGTGGACCCCAGGGAAGACTAGCAACCACTTTGTGGAAGCTAATGGGGTTCCGAATAAAAAATTAAGAATCACATAATGTGTGTTTTTTAATCTGGTGGAAGGATTTTTCAGTCAAAGTTGAAACAACAAAGATATGATGAGTTAAAGTGTTATTTTTAGTGCCTGTCCCATTGACTCCAATAGAACGCTGTCACTGTCGCCATGACTTTTCCTTCTTTATAGTGTCCTTGTCCAGGACCCTACAACAGGTTAATTCAGCCATGTTTCTCAGAAATGTCATTACATGTTATGGTATTTCATGTTCATTTTGTCACTTCAGGCATTTAATGTGCCTTTTTCAATACGTTTAAACATCACAATTTTACCAACAATGAATAAAACACAATATATGTGATTGTTGTTGTCATTTTTGATGTTGTTTTTGTTGTTCAGTGTAAATAAAAATCACAAGACTCGTTTATTACCTTGTCATGTCATGTCAGCTGACTTCGTGTTTTCACCTGACTCCACCATCAGCGGACTTTAGCGCTTCCTAGTTTGTAGTGAAACGCCATTGGTCAGTTACAGACGCATTTTGATTCTATTGGTCCAGATTAACGTCACTCATCAAAGGGGGCGGGCTGAACACGCTTTATACGAGGAAATAGATTCAAATTCAAACACAGTCGCTTTGTGGTCCATTGTTGTGAGAAAAGTGTCGAGTTTAAAAGTGAAAATGTGCAGAGCCGCGTGCCTCCTCGCGCTCATCGGGTTAATCAGCCTCGTTGCTCACGCGCTGGACAATGGTCTCGCGCTGAAACCCACTATGGGCTGGCTGCACTGGGAGAGGTTCATGTGTAACACCGACTGTGACACAGACCCTGATAACTGCATCAGGTAAGAGACACCAGAGCCGCTGTGTTCAGGCACAGTCTGACATGACTGTGGGATAAAACACAATAAAAGAAGTCTTATCAACGTTATTCAAGTCCTGAGAAATACTCCAGCTCCTCCTTCATACATCTTATTCATAAAACATCTGCTTAAAATCATATTAAAGTGATTCAACATTGATAGAAGGTTTTATTATGCTCTATTATAAACAAGTCAAATTGGACCCAACGCCCTCTGTATATATGAAGTGACAGTATGGGGTGTGTCTGCACCATAAACTAAATAAACAAACCTGCAGTGTAATTAAAAATAAATAAAAACCTAAACTTTCTTCAACCATACTTCATAGTTATAACCACAAACTCATAACATCTTTTTGTCCACCAATCATTAATAATTACGTCATCTATTTTGTGATTATGAGATCTTTATTTCATAATTGAGAAAGTGTCTCAGAAGGCAAGAAAATGAGACCGGAGACACGTGATTTGTGAGAGGAGTGGACATTTGATAAGACAGGAGGAATATAACGACACCATCTGATTTAATTTGCCTTCATTTGTGCTTTGGTTTGAGGCACTGGGAGATAATGATGTCTGTGTGTAATGTAATCAACTGAATTTGCAAAGTACTTTGTGAACACAAACATAGACGTTGGCACATTCCTGAAGTGCTGAACAATATACTGTAAGGTAATATGGTCGTATAATATATGGATTAATTGACACAAGACAGAAAGTAGGATCGAGAGAAACACAGGTAAAGACAAATTACAACAGTGCAACAAACTTTATCAGTGTTGTTAGTCGCAGCCCTATGATATCAACATGCCAGTTATTCTCTCAGTCCTCATCATTTCTGCATATGACATTTTACTAATTATCAAAACAGTTAATTCATTGGTAAGCTTGAGATAAAACACCCTTGTGATTAACAGATGCAAAGTCATAATTAGGGCTGCAACTAATGGCTGTTTTCATTATTAATTCATCTGCTAATTATTTTCTTGAGTGACTGATTAATCTTTTAAGTCTTTTAAGTAGCATACGTTTTGTTTGATGGCTTCTTCGGGGTTTTAAGCTTGTTTTTCACCAGCAAAAATTAGCATGAGCATTAATGTTATCACAATTAACCACATCTGTATCCAAGCTGACGGCTAGCCTTGGGGTTTTCTCCACTCCCTCATCCAAATATAGTCACTTCTGGCTCCATAAATCCAAGATGGCAACGGCCAAAATGCCAAACTCAGGGGTTTAAAATGGGAGTCTAGCAACCAGTGGGTGATGTCATGTGGCTATGTCCATTACTTTATACAGTCTCTGGTAAAAACAGCAAGTGGTAAGTGGTAAATGCCAGTCACACATTCCTAGAGGTCAAAGTTACGTCTGAAAATGCATATTCAGTTTACAAGATGTACAGTTTACCTTACATATGACAAAGAAATGCAGCGAATCCTCAAATTTGAGAAGCTGGAACCAGCAGATATTTGGCTTAATTAATCACTCAATCATTATTACAGTAGATACATCAATTAAAGGTCCACTTGTAGGATTCAGTGGCATCTAGCAGTGAAGTTGCAGAACTTACTGCAACTATTGACTATCTATCGACTATCTATCTCAGTAGTTTCCAACTGGTGGGTCGCAGGTCCATTCTGAATGGGCCACAAGTGATTCGAGAACGTCTCAAGCTTGCAAAACAAACACTTTATTTTGAAGTACAGTGAATTTCTGGCACAGATCTTTTATTTTGAAGTCCCCTTTCCTGCTGTAGAGTGAGTGAATAATGGTTAGCTACTTAACAGAAACAGCAAACTAGCTTGACGACGTGGCTGAATGCAAGTACGACGCTGAAACTGTGAGTACCTTGAACTAATGACTAAGAAGAACTCTGGACCTTGTGGCTGCACCAGTTGGGAACCACTGATCGGTCTCACTATCTATTAGAAAGTAGATATAAACGGCTCATTCTGAGATCACGAAAACACAACTGTTCTTATTTTTAGGTGATTATAAACTCATGAAAACATCGTTATGGGTATTTAATACCATCTCTGCCAATAGATGCCCCTAAATCCTAGCCTGGAAATCCATACTCAAATCTAGAAAGATTTTGAGTCTGGCTCTCACCGATACACCCTTCGTACCCAAGGGGCAGCACTAACTGAGGCATATATAAATGCCGCCCATGCAATTGGATAGCGTGATAGCCAATCAGAGCAAAAAACAAGGTGACGTATTCATTGTGCTAAGCCCCATTTGTTTGCCGAACAGTGGGGCTAACTGATATATTATGCTTTTGCCATATCCCATCGGCAAAAATGTCCTTCCTGGAAGTGAAGGCTTCTAGGGCAGTCTTTTGTTCCTCGCTCAAGGAAAAAGATAAATGTAGTTGGCTTAGCGTTTCTTCCAAAGCTAAACTGAATGGACGCGGTCCTTCGGCAGCTGCCATCTTGGCTGTTTACTTTTCGACTCCTACGGGCGCAGCGCTGTCGACATCATGTTACGCCTGCCCAGAGCCTGCCTCTGTCAGATAGACTGATCTGATTGGTCCGATGACGATTCACCGGGCTCTGCTCGTCGGGGCCAGATCCCCGTGCAGAGCAAATTTAAATTTGCTAGGGGCGGGGCATCTGGATTTCCAGGTTACCTAAATCCCAAAACTGGACCTTTAATCGATTCATGTTTGTTGCTCTAGTCGTAATTACAAGTTAGTACAGTCTCCATTTTATGTAATTTGACGAATGCAAGACCCTGTTTTATTTCAGGGACCTCACCTCAATACTAATTACTGACAAACAACTCACTTCCTGTGCACAGCAAACCTTTCTCTCTCCCAGAAAGACCCGGGCAACAAAGCCCTCAGAGCACCAAATGTCAGCCTGTTGGTTGAACTGTTATCGTGTTATATCAGTCGACAATGAACAGTAGGGAAAAAAAAGCATTTGTTTTCATGAGTATAGCATGTATTAGTGTCTGCCATCTTTGCTCCCGTACATGACATTGAACACTGGCATCTTAACTGATACCATCGGCTGCGCCTGTCTCCTCCTGCTGCTCTGGCAGTGAGCGTCTGTACATGCAGATGGCAGATGTGATGGCGAAGGAGGGCTGGAAAGAGGCTGGTTATGAATACGTCTGCATCGATGACTGCTGGCCCTCCCACCAGCGCGATGCCCAGGGCCGCCTGCAGGCAGACCCCAAGAGGTTCCCGGGGGGCATCAAGAAACTGGCCGACTATGTGAGTAGTAGGTATAAAGGAGGCGTGGAGACTCAGGATGTTAATATGAAATTAATGACATAATTCCTCTATAGATGTCAAATGGTTCAGATAGACTTAAGCAAAGCAAGGAGTACTTTCTTTTTTTTTAATTTCACCAGCTGGAAGGAGCAAAATTAGATTATTATTAAAGCGTTTTCTAGTTTTCAGTCTCTGGGCTGCACTTTTAATAGTATACACTGTTATGTAATAGCAAACTGTGTAATATTTAACACATATTCCCACTGATGCGACTCCCTGGGGTGCAGTGTTCGCAAATCTGTAGTGCAGTGCATCTGAGTATGGAAATCTTTGACAAAAAGTTTGGGAACCCCTGTTTAAATAACTCTAAAAGTAAAAGTGATTACACAGTCAGATTACATATTCATTATACATCCATCTGAGTCGACCTGCAGGTATTTACATAATGAAGGAGAGAGGACCAGATGTGGAACCCAGGTCTCGGATTTCATACCAGTGGAAATTCAGCACTTGGAGAGCCAAGGGAGATACGTGGGCATATATTGCCTCATGTAGGAGGGTGCTGTCGTTCATCCTCTTTGCTACAGTAACAACTCTCTTGAGTCGGATGCCGCTGTGACAGGCTGATTCCTACACAGGCAGCTAGAAAGTGACGTTCACCAGGAAATAGATATATCTGGGCTCACTGGAGACGAGCTGTGTCCTGCAGCAGTGGCACCAAGTTTTTAGCTGTGCAACATCGCCATCTACTGGTTATACAACCTGCTTGTAAACTACACCAGTGATTCTAATTATTTCCTCTGTGTAAAGGTTCATTCGAAGGGGCTGAAGCTGGGTATCTATGCAGATGTGGGGAAGAACACCTGTGCTGGATACCCTGGCAGTCTGGGTTACTATGAGACAGATGCTCAGACTTTTGCTGACTGGGAGGTGGATCTGCTCAAGTTTGATGGCTGCTATATGGACTGGAAATTGCTGGGAGAAGGTAAGCTTTGGTATCATTTACACTATTCAAACATGGTGATGCTTATCCCCACGTTAGCTGTCAATTTAGTATCTCATTACTGATATGTTGTTCACCTAATGGAAGTATTTCATAGAGGGAGACTGGAGTATTTTTAACCTGGACCTTTTTCCTCCACGTTTGTGTGTCTAAGTGAGTAATGGAGACAGTTTTGGAAATTGGTCCAGTATTGAGAGAAACCGCTGTAGCCACAGCTACGAAACAAACTGCAAAGATTGTGCTCCATCATTTTACATCCATTAAAAGTGTTAGTTTTTGCCACTGACAGGCTGAGATTGTTATTATAAGTGCCTGACAACAATATGGAAATGATCCCTACAGGGAAATTAGACATTTTTCTCACGTAACCAAGTCTCACACAGCTTAATAGTCAGCCATGATACTGAAATGTTTTGAAAACATTAAGCTATGATTCTGTACTCGACACAACAAACTCTTCTCAGCACTTCTCTCTCCAACTCTCACTGACTTTCCTGCAACAAGTCACCTCTCTCAAGATTTCAGAACGAGACTTGTCCTTAAGCAAGAATTGGTCACACACGACAACAAACAGACCGGATCAGCAAAAGATAAATAGAAACATTTCATTTCTCCGTAAGGTCCTTTCCATAATGTTTTCAGACATTTATAATAACAATTGGAGCCCGTCAGTGGCAAAAACAAGCACTTTAAATGGATGTAAATTGACATTACACAATTGTCCATAGGGATGTTTCGCTGTTTAAAAAAACTTTCCATTTGTCACTTAAACACAAAAATATGAAAAAAATAGGGTCCAGGTTGAATAATAACGATTTTCCTTCAATAAGGCTAATAAACTTCAATAAACTTGGAAACATATGTTAACTTTTACATTTTTATCAATGCTCTGGGTCCATTTTTATGGTTCTCCTCTCACTCAGAGCCTCCATGGACTCAGTGGATAAGGTGTTTTGTGAGGTTTAATCTAACACTTTATGATTTGTTCTGATTTAGGCTATGCCAACATGTCAAAGGCACTGAACAAAACTGGAAGAAGTATCCTGTACTCCTGTGAGTGGCCTTTATATGAGTGGCCCTTCCATCAGGTGAGAGGGAAGATGTTTTGTCTTTACGCTACTTTAAATTACAGCTGCAATGATCAGTCAACAGAAATTTATTCAGCAACTATTTTGATAATCAATGTATTATTTTAGATACTTTATAAGCATAAATGCTAATCACTCTGGTTTCAGGTTCCCCAATGTTAACATTTGATGTTTGTCTTTGTCATATTCCAATACAATAATTTGACTTTTGTCCAAAGGGAATTACCGAAAGTGTATCAAACCATGTCGGAGCAAGAGCTAGGTATCGTCCAAAATTGGGGGTGTATCCCTTTAAAATAAATATCTAAAAGCACAACCAGTGCAACAGTGCCTTTGCATAGGGGTGGGAAATTATACAGCAGTTGATTAATCAAGAAAATAATTAGAAGATTAATCAGTAACAACAACAATCATTAGTTGCAGCCCTGCTTTATAATCTCAACACATAGTATTGATCTCTGGTCTATTTTCTAACCTTCTACCCACATCAGTGAAAACCAATATAACCAGCTGCTTGATGACACCATCCATCATGTGTTACACTACATTTAAGAGCCTTTCTGTGCCTGCAGCCCAACTACACAGCCATCCGTGAGACGTGCAACCACTGGCGCAACTTTGCTGACGTGTTCGACTCATGGAGCTCTGTCAAGTCCATCTTGGACTGGACTGCTTCTCATCAAGACATCATTGTCCCCGCAGCTGGACCTGGGGGCTGGAACGACCCCGACATGGTACTCCGCTGTGCTCAGTCGCTTATAGGCGACTCTGTTTGACCTCAATTTAAGCATACAACCAGTGAGCTACAAGTACCGAGCTGTATTATCATTTTAAAAACCTCAGTGACACTTGTCAGTTGCTACATCTTGAAGATAGACTACAGATTTAAAGGAATAGTTTGACATTTTGAGAAATTAAAAAGTGTCAAACTGACTTCATGGTGGCTTAAAAAGAGCCGAATACATTTGTAAGAGAGCATCACATTTCCCACTCATAGGTTGTTGTACTGCATTCTGTCCAACGGCCTAAATTACCCTGTTATCTTCATATTTATGACACTGGTCCATTTCCCCAGCTCGTGATTGGGAACTTTGGCCTGAGTCATGATCAGCAGGAGTCTCAGATGGCATTATGGGCCATCATGGCAGCCCCTCTGCTGGTGTCCAATGATCTGAGGGACATTTGTCCTCGCTCCAAGGAGCTGCTGCAGAACAGACACATCATCGCCATCAGCCAGGACCCACTGGGCAAGCAGGGATTCCTCACTGCCAAGGTGAGTGAGAGAGGTGACAGAGAGCATGATCACCTCCTGGAATGACAGCTGCCGGCATTTATAGTACATTTACTCTATACAGAAATGCTAAAAGCTCTGTGGTCACCTTGGCAGGGTGTTGAGGATACAAAATGATCTAGTACTCTATCATCATCCACATAAAACGTAACTTGTTCTACAGGTGAACAGTTTTGAAGTGTGGGAGCGGCCTCTGTCCAACAACAGACTGGCTGTCGCTGTGCTGAACAAACAGGAGATCGGCGGTCCCCGAGGGTTTGTCTTTAGCGCGGCTCCCGGCTGGAAGATCTGTGACCCCCAGTGTAACGTCACACAGATCCTGCCTCAGTACAAGGAAATGGGTGTTCTGACTCCACAAACCAAAATGGTTATATCTGTCAACCCCTCAGGTACCACTCTACTGACTGTCACTCCCATCAGTGGTGACTTTACTGGGCTTCACAAGCTACAATGGAAGAGCACATCTGTCAATGGCAAGCACACCATATTGTAGTCCTCAGTTATGCACTTTCGAATTTTGCTGATGGTTTTAAGTGGAAAATTGTTGATCTTTAAACATTTAAACAGATTTGCTGCTTTTGTTAAATGGAGTGTCTATATTTCATAAAAGGGAAAAGGTTTCAGGGTTTGGTCAAACATGCACAAAATTAACTTTGACGAATATCTGCTTTCCACTCAGTGTGAGCAAAGGGCCAAATAAAACATACAGTGGCAAACAAATTGGCATCACGTTGAGTGTGTGAAGACAGTGATTGTCACTCTGTCTAACCAGCCCATATTGTATGATAATCGCCATGAAAAATCCAAACTGCACGTTGAAAATGTAAAATGTAGACAACCTTTCACTGTATTACAAAGCCAGTTACCAACCACCACATCCGACACTGCCCAAAATGTCACCACGGCAGGTGATGGTCACTCATGAGCATTTGTTGATATGCATCCATGGCCTTTCAATCTATAGTTTGTGTGAATACACCTGGATATTATGACAATTACTTTGCACCTGCTTTTTAAAATGTTGAATAAATCACTGGAAAATGTTTTTGAACTTGAACTTGTAAATTGTTCAGAAGTGGTTGCAAATAGAGATTTAATTATCTCAAAAGACAAAGCTTGAATTTTGGACATCTGACCAGTAAGTATAATGAAACAGAGGTGAAGAAAGGGCCAAACTCCAAACTATGTTTTTAATACATTTATTGAAAATAGTGACAACTTGCTCCAGAAGATTGGACCGCAGTTTAGAACTGGATGACCTGGCCCTGTAAGAGAACAGAAAAAGACTTTGGTTAAAATGATGTTCAAGCACATAAACATACATCAATAATATATGGTTCACTCTGAATGATAAATGCTACTTGAATTATATTTTACAATCAACTGTGAAACTTTTACACTTCAATAAAGATGTTTTTTAACAGTTTGATGGGATTTTCTTCACATTTGTTGGCTTCACCCCAGGTTAAAAAGCAGTCTTATGTTTAACAACCTCATTATTTTACACTGATCTATTTTGAGTTAAGTTGCAGTGTAGGGTGGGTGAAGGGTAAACAATGATGAAAACCTATGTATGTATTCATCCTAAAATAAAATTGCCCTCATTGTGAAAGAGCCAAATCCACACACTAATCCTTATGAAATTACACTTGAAACTAACATTTACAGATTTTCCTCCAGACCACCAAGGGACTGTCTGACATCATGAGATAATGGCTTTGCAATGACTCTTGGTTTTGCATGTTAGTATTAAAGCTGCTACAGTTACACCAAATTAGGACCCATTTTCCCCTTAAATGATGCCCTTACTTGACCCCTTTCCACCATAACTCAAGCATTTATAGCCAAGAGCAAAACTCAAAGCTATACACCACTTGCACTAACTTTCATTAATGCAAGGTTAAATCTACAAATACGACTGAATGTTCTATTTTTACTGCAAATAAAACACTTAGCTTTGTGTTGTTACGCATTCCAGCAGATATGAATACATCAGGCCAGAAAAAGGCAGCTGAACTGAGCGAGTAAAAGCGCCATTTTATGATACGCACATTACACTGGCCACCTGGACCAATATAATTATCAGCGCTTCCTCTTCAGTATAAGGAAGGTGGACTTAGCATGACCAATACTAAAATGCAAAACACAAAAAGCCCTACATAATACTTTCGGTAAACATAATGGCTGCATCGTGTTCATGCCTTGTTTTATCTCATGTATAAATCCAATGTAATGTTACCACTGTATAATCAAACATTTAAACGCTGCGTCTCGTGAAGGAAAAACGTCAGTTTAGTTCAATACAACCTTTCTCACATTACATTATTTTACATATATTTCCAAAAATCAATGCTCCTGAACACTTGATCCTTCCTCTCTATTGGCAAGTTTCATAGTGTACTTAAGCTTTTGCAGCCAATACTGTCAGTTGAGAAACACTGAAACATCCCTCATTCTCACACACATCATTTGTTCCTGCCTATTCAACCTGTCAAATTTTTTGTCTTCAATATTTATTTGTAAGCAAAAACATGTACACTAACTCAGAAGGTATCACTAAATAAAATCCAGTTACATCCTAATTCTATGCTATAAACTAAAAACCATACAGTAATGCACTCTACCAGTTACACTGTCTGCTCCAACATGTCAGTGTTCCAACTTAGTCTAATATTTTAAAACCTAATACACATCAGATGTAAGTTTTCTTGATCATTTTGCAAATGCCAAATCAAAGTTAATAACATTTGCTTTCTCTAATTGTGATGCCTAACATAATGTGGACACAATTTCATTATTTCAAAAGATTACATTCAAGTTATTTGTCAAGATGTTGCTGAATTGACTAGATTATTTTCAATGGAGAGTTACAAGATCCACAACATGTCAGATCTTATTACTCCCCACTGAAATAGTGTGAAAAAAACCCTGCATCCATAGAGTGCATGGTTAGCTAGAGAATTTTTATTGTGACACTGGGGTGCACTGCAAAGGTTTTTGACCAGAGACATAAAACTATACCATTCACAAAGCATTACAGCACTCTATAAAGAGCCCATCAAACGCAGTAAGCTGCGGGAATACACTCATACTGACATTACTGAATAAAACGACGCCTACCTTTCTCTTCTTGTCACCACCCAACTCGAAGTGCTTGCATCTCTTGATGGCCAGCATTCTCTTGGATCTGCAGTTGGGCTCCACACACTCAAGCCTCAACACAATCTTCTTTGTAGTCTTAGCCTGAAAACACAGTCAATCATTGAGTCTGATTTCACACACAGGGGTGCTATATTTATGATGAATCTAACAGCACCAAAAAGAACTGAACTCACCTTTTTCCGGAAGATAGGCTTTGTTTGACCACCGTACCCACTCTGCTTTCTGTCATATCTCCTCTTACCTGCAGAACAAATACAGTTAAGCTATATTTTTGACAACTCATGTGCAAGAGATATATACAACCTTAAAGTTGAGGGTTTATTTACCCTGTGCATAGAGGGAATCCTTTCCCTTCTTGTACTGGGTAACCTTGTGGGGCTGGTGCTTCTTGCACTTCTTGCAGAAAGTCCTGCGGGTCTTCGGGACGTTCACCTGGACAACACAGTAATGCATTAATTTAGCTAACACCTTCATCCACAAGTGACTGACAATGTGTATTCAACCATGTGGGTTCAACCACAAATGGGCAATAATGATATGCAATGTACTTCAGGTACTACAGAAAGGTGAAGGTGAATCTGCCTGACACGTTATAAACGAACCACATTGACACCCAATGCTAGTAAAGTGTAATAACCACTAACTTGTCTTGGTCACATACGCTAACCATGAATGTTAATTCCGCAAAATAACGTTAGCTAGCCACACGTAAAGCACAACAGTACTGTTCTAAAATTAAACCTCATCTTATTTCATATTTGTTGACACGTGAAAACATTTTTAAATTTAAAACTGACGGTCAGAAAACTCGTGTTTACCATTTTCACGCTGGTTAGCACCTTGGTATGGGTAAAAGCAAGTGACGTTAGCTAACGAGCTAATGTTAGCATTTTAGCTACTGACCGGTATTTCTGTGTTAATTTATATAAAACATGTCACGCTACAATAGCATTAAAAGTGACAAGGCTGGAGTTTGCCTTAACGGTTACTTGACTGACATTTGACACTAATTTTCTCTTAACAGTTTGACGCCCGTTAGCGCTCGGGTAAGGGTAAAGGCAGGAGACGTTAGCTAGCAAGCTAACATAATAGCATTGTAGCTATTTAACGTGAATTCAGTGCGAAGTTGGTGTGTAAACGTGTAACAATGCAATAATGTAATAAATGAAAAAGGATGCCGTTTGCTAAAACAGTTTCTCTGGCTGACATTTAGCTGCAATTTATCTTAAAAGAAAGGCCGGTTGAAGTGGAAGTACGCGTTACAGCAGCATTTCACCCATCACAGCAAGCAAAGTTTAACAGCCATCTAACGGCGTAAAATGAACACAAGATGGCTAATACTATCACCGTTACGTGTATTAAAAGTTTGTTACCATATCTGAGTTTAGTGGGTGTAGTGATGATTGTTTAATCGGCAAGATTAAGTTAGATTCTGTAAAGTGTCGTCGTGCAATAATTTCATACCATGGCTGCGTCCCTTCGCAGAGGAAAAGAGGGAGATTGAGGGCGGAAGCAGTTCCTAATGTAGCTCTCAGCGGTGAACGGGCCGTGCAGTCCGCCCCCTAGCGGCGGGGCATTGCAGGACGACAAAACTATAAACAACACACCTCAGAACTCAAATATTAGGTAAAAGAGCTCAAATTTTAAGTAAATGCCGGCAGTTATACGTTTAATCTTTGTAAAAGACAACAAGCAGACTTTCTACTGTCTGCAAAACTTATCAGTTTGCTCATCTCTTATCCCTGCTATACATAAACTGAAGGTAGACTGACTAAGAAATCCCCTAAAATAAAAATAAATGAGTATATCTATATGCACAACACAAATATGGTCCTGTGTTAATGTTTAGCCTGTTTGAACTTATCACCAAAACTCTCCAGAGGGCTGATATGAAAATGAGCAGGAAGAAAAAGGGGAAGTTAGCCGAGTCGATTCCTCTCTGTGGGTGGGTTTAGGTTTCTTGCATCACAGACTAGCACACATTTTATGGAAGGCGAGCGACTGAGCCAAAGGTTCATGTCACGGCTTCAAACCTCAGCATCTGTAGTTGTCTGTCTGATGCTTGGCTTTTCTGGGAGGCTGGGTAAGTGGCACTGCTCTTTGAATGTAGGCTGTAAGGCCAAGAAGTAGTTATTAGTCTTGTGTTCACTAAATTAAATGATAAAAGCTAAATTAGTTGAAGTCTATGATCAAAGGCAGCGGTGAGTATTGTGTAGATTTGTGCAAGTGCTGAATTGAAACTTTCAGTTTGTATGCAAATCCTAAAAGAAGTGTGTACTCACTACAAAACTGCGAACACACACGTCAAACCACAGTGACGTTTTCTGCTAAAAGGCAAAGATATACTTGTTTCTGAATGTTTTGTCGACAGTGATGGGCTATGGTGTATTCTGCTGTACATCTTGCAACATTACAGTGGTTTAGCTGTATTGTGGGGTTATAATCAGATAATAGTTTCATGTGGTTACTTTTATAATCAAGCATGATAAATGTCTTGTATGATGTGAATTAGCGAGCACATTTTCACATTACAATTCAAGATGTTTCCCTGAAATGACCTTTATTCACATGCTCTACAAAGAGCGCTAATTCCTATTTGTGTATTCTGAAAACTGACCTCCACAGAGCACCGCAATGTTAACTTGATGTGGTATCGTAAAATGTGCAAGAGTCCTCTCTGTGGTTAGATTTAACTCTTAAGTCTCGTACTGAGCATGCCTGTCACTCTCTTTTTTTCTCAGTGTCTCTCTTATACATGCACAACCACACACACACACACACACACACACACACACACAAACACACATTTTCTTGCATTTCATACCACTTATCTGTCAGGAAACGTCAGGAAAGAGAGCATCTTGAAAGGTTCCTGTTAAACCAGCTCTTTCATGATAATTGCATTCGCTGTGTCATACGACATCACGCAACAAAACTGTATTCCATACTGATACACAGCTTTATTAGCTTAATTTATTGGGACTTTTTTTTTTATTATAAAACATGCCACACTAAGTTGCGTGCATTGAGGTCAGAGTTGGTTGATATTTTCAGGTTGCAAAGATCAGTCGCCCGTCACTCTGACACCTGATTCAGAAAGGGTCAATATATAATTTAATATATTTCGAATTGTGATAATGATTTTATGAGATTAAAATGGTTATTTTAAGGATACACTTCAGCTGTTCTTGACTTTTGAGTGGCTGAAAAGTGGCCTTGCGTACAGTAATAAGTGCTTTTTTTTAAATTGAGCTATTGAGTTTGATTTCACAACTGATAGCGTCAAATGGAAATACATAGTATATATTTCACCACCCTACAACACACGCGTAACTGAGAGGATAAGCATTAAAAAGAGGGCTGTGTAAAAACAGAGGTGAATTCTGTAAAATCTAAAAAAGTTGCACATAGTTATCAGTGTAAGTTAACAGCATACAACATTTTAAATGTGCTTATAAGAACCACGTCCAAGAGACAGAGAGATCATGTCGGATTGAAGTGCTGCAGGGCACTGAGTTTCTTCTCCCTTCATATTGCAGTACAGCCCTGATGCAACTTCCCTATCAGTTCGTCTGTGTCAGCCACCGTGCGTCAACTCCCTTCAAAAAAAAGACAAAAAAATCCTTCTGGTGGCCATGACACAGTGAAATATGGACGCGCATTTTCAGTCGACGGGCTGCACTGAGTCAAAGATAAAGAACGAGGCGATGGTGCATCAGTGTGTTGATCACTATCAGAGTTTACTGACCTCTTATCCACAACTTAGTGATGTGAGAAAACATTAGGCGGCGAAGAATGAGGAATGATGTTTTGCAGAATAGGGAACACTGCTGTCTGTTTATGACGGCGCAAACGCAAAACCAATAGGTGCTGTCAGTCTGCTGTGAAGAAATGTCACACTCCTGGTTAGCAGGGAGGGACAGAAGCTTCTGGTGGTGTTACAGTTCAAATGATAGAAGGAAGTGCTCACAAGCTGAAAATAGGCTGAGCTGAAGTGCAAACACATTTGGCGAGACTCACAGACAATTAGTGTTCAGCTGTGTGGGTGAGGGTGAGTTTGAGCATCTGATCCATGTTTCACCTGGAAATATGACACTGTGACTTCCTGCGTTTAGTGCACTGTGTACTTTTGTAGTGTTTTAGACTAATGTGTGTTTTTAGACGGTGTTTGGCAGATGAAAATACATGTGTGAGTTGTGCTGTTTTAGCATGATGTGATTTTAGTTCTGCATCAGTAGGTTACAAGCTAATCTTGCTGCCTGTTTCATAGTATGTGATCAGCCCACATATAGGCATGTTGCTGCTGTATCTACTGTCATTAAATTAGGTAAATTATTCAACATCTAAAGGAACTTTTCACTCACCTACTGTATATAGTGAATTATGTTTCACAGCCTTAACAGCTCTTCCAAACTGTGAAGATATCTGGTGCATATACTTTTGTTTTAGGAAGGAGAGCAGGTTCAAGTGCTTGAAAGAGTCTATATTATCCTCATCACTTAACAGACAATAGTTTCTGCCACTTCTCTCTTATCTAGAAATGATATCATTACAGATCTTGTCTTGTTTTGGAGGCGCAAGTTTCAGTTTAGCACTAGCGGTCAGCGGGTGCCGAAAACAAGTCACAAGAAGCTGTTATACCCGTAAAAGAGACAGCCTTTTTCATTTGCCTACTCATGTTATCATACCAGTCAAAGATAATATATGTGTGTGAGCGAATGCATATGAGAGAGAGAGGTAGTCTTGAGATGGTGAAATCAATTGATATTTTAAATTATTATTATTATTATTCTGTAAGTAATTTCAGTTAGATGTTGTTTCTGTCAACACCCATGACCTATAAACATCTTAATGTGGCATGAACATAAGTTACTGGGTCACTGTAGTGATAACCAGGCTGCTGGATCATAAAAATAATGTGTGTGTGTGTGTGTGTGTGTGTGTTTGCTGCTGTACTAAGTTTATTAAAAACATTTAAATGTATGTGACATGAAATACAATCACCAAAACCTTTTGGATGCAATTAACTGTGTTTTATCCAAACTTGTCATGTTGCAAAATTCAAGCAGTGGTGGAATAATGCCAATCGATCATTTTACATTTTGCCATGGTCATGAAATTCCTGGAAAAGTTATGAAATTCAAAAAACAGTTTTCCAGGCCTGGAAATGGTTTGGAATTAACAGAATGATACAAAAAGTTTTAACTGAGGAACATGACAGCGATCAACTTTAATTTATTAAGGCACTGCATATGCTCATTGGTAGATGACTGAATGGGCCTACTGAGCAAAGGCCCCGGGGTCCAACGTGTGAGGGACCCCACTAGCCTTCACCTGCAAAATGTCACTCAAAATAACATGTACTGACTAGGTAGTGACTCATAATGACCACAGAGAGATGCAAAGGCACTGCAAAGAGACACAAAATAACTACAAAAAGAGGCAAAAAAACAAACCACAAAGTGACCAAAAAGACACAAAATTACCTCAGAGACACACAAAACAACCAAAAAAAGAAACAAAATCACCTCAAAAAGTAAAAAAAAAACCCAAACACATAAAGACACAGAATGACCCTGTATAGATAAAGCGACAAGGAGACACATAATCTCAGACACACAAAGACCAAAAATCAATCAAATCAATCAATCAAATAAACTTTATTGTCCTTTACAGGAAATTCATCTTGGGCTCAGAGTGCATGAAAACTGCGTTTACATTGACACACAACACACAAACAACAATAGACAAAGTTTTTCCAAAGACTTACAAGTACACATGGTGTACAATAGGACAAGTACTGCCCACCATGCAGGCGTCGGCCACTACTAAGCCCGGCAGCGTAAGGTGCATAGAGAAAAAGAAAAAGACACAAAATGACCCCACTGAGATACAGAATTACCTCTAAGAAATACAAAACGACCAAAAGAGACACAAATTACCTCAAAAAGACACAAAACGGGGCGTCGGTAGCGTAGTGGATAGTGCCGGCGCCCCATGTATAGAGGTGATGCCTCACCGCAGCGGTTGCGAGTTCGACTCCGGCTTGCAACCCTTTGCTGCATGTCATCCCCCCACTCTCTCTCTCTCTCTCTCCCCCATTTCACACACTATCCTGTCCATTAAAGGCAAAAACGCCCAAAAAAATAATCTAAAAAATAATAAAGAAGAATAAAGAAGACAAAGATGACCAAAAACAGAAAAAATGACGAAGAGACACAGAATGACCACGAAAAAAAAATTTACTTCAAAGACACAAAAAATTACCAAAGAGACAAAAAATGGGGACACAAAATTATCTCAAAGAGAAACAAAGCAACCAAAAAATAAACAAAATTACCTTGAAGAGAATGAATGAATGAACCTGAAAGAAACAAAAAACGAAGACACAGAATGAACAGACAAAATGACACAACATTACTTCAGATAAAAACACAAGGACCAACAAAAAAAAGAGTGACCCCAATGAGATACAAAATTACCTCAGAGAGGCGCAAAACAAACCAAAACAACAAAAAACTACCTTAAAGAGACACACAACGAATAAAAAGACTGAAGATGACCCCAGAGAGACACCCAAAATGACCTAAAAAAAAGGACAAAAACAGATGAAGAGACACAAAAAAGAACAAAAAAAATACAAAAAAACAACCTCAGAGAGACACAAAACAAACCCAAACTACAAAAAATGACCTTAAAGAGATACAAAAATGAACAAAAAAGGACAAAAATGACTCCAAAGTGACACTAAATTATCTTAGAGACACAAATTGACCAAAAAGACACAATATGACTTCAAAGAGATAAAAAAAAGACACAAAATGACCCAAAAGGGACACTAAATTATCTCAGAGATACAAATGACCAAAAACAACACAAAATGAGCTCAGAGAGACACAAAACAACAACAAAAAAGAAACTAAAGTACCTCAAAGACACAAAATGATTTTGAATCGACAAAATGACAAGGAGACACAACATTACAGGCACACAGTGACCAAAAAATGACACAAAATGACTCCAGAGGGAGACTGAATTATTTCAAAGAGAAACAAAATGACCAAAAAGATGCAAAATGACTTCAAAGAAACACAAAACGACCACAAAAAGATCCAAACAACAAAGAAGAAGTAAAACCATGCATACACTCAGATTCAGGCAACGTCACAAAACAATTATCAGACATGTTTATAAAATAAAGATTTCATTCACAAGAAGTAAATGCAGACATGCCAAAGTTCTAATTCAACACTGTGCAAAGTACCAGTATGTGCCGGAACATGCAACTAGTTGGCAGAGGGAACATCTAGCAAGCGGGTAAAGTTAGCAAGTGCCAGCAGTTTGCTTATCCACAAATGTCTGTGTGTGTGTGCGTAACATTGTATGTCTGTATCACTACACAAGCCTACCCAGTTAAAACTACCTAAATAAAGTCATGGAAATGGCTAAAAATACTATGGAAATTTATGGAAAATTCATTGGTAAAAATGTGTGGGAACCCTGACATGAGGAATACCTAGTAGACAAAAGGAGTTTCTAAAATGTCCTCACACAGTTCCCCAGCACAAAAGCATTCATGTCACTGAGCTGGTGTGATGATGACCAGGATACAGTAGCTGAGGGAAACAGATGTGACACGAGGGGGAATTTTGGAAACTAAAAGGATGTTGCTGGCAGGAAAAGCAAGTTTTATGCAAAACAAAGCTAATCAGGCGGTGATGTGCGCTCCCATTCATGCTGCATCTGGCTCCAGATCTACAGTACACTCCCACCTCTTATAGTGGCATTCAAAGGGAATGAAAACACTGAATAATCAAGTGTGAAGTGACATGTAATCCAAAGGCTACGCTAAGCACAGTGATAAAGGGTGAGTCAGTCACAGTTCTCTGTGAAGCGATTACTGCCTGAGTCGAGGTGCCGATGTGCTGAACAAAGAGAACAGCGTTAAACTGCTGTCATGCTTTACAAAATGATTCCTTGTTCCCCTGTAGATTAATCCTGACCGCATCATGTCAGACAGCATACTGGAGGAAATCTTCATCAAACGATCTCAGCAGAAGAAGAAGACCTCCCCTCTGAACTACAAGGAGAGACTGTTTGTTCTCACCCAGGAAAAAATATCCTACTATGACTTTGATTCGGAGAAAGGGGTACGTAGAAATCCTTCAACGAAAAAACGCAGCTACATTTGTCTGTCGGTTGCCTGACTGTTTCCTCATCTGATTAGCAGAAGCGAAAAGGTTTGAGAGGATCGGTTGACCTGGAGAAGATCAAGTGTGTAGAGACGGTCCAGCCAGAGCCCTGCACCCCGCAAGAGCGCATGTATGCTTTCCAGGTAGATGTTTTTGTCAATTTACTTCCTCAGAAACTGCCAATTATGGAGGTTAAACATGAGGCTGCAACACTGTGTGATACCCCAGACATGAAACATTCTCACTGGTCTAAAATCAGAGCCAAAAACCAAGGCTACCAAGGTTTTGCTTTTACTCCTACTTTTATGTTCGCTTTTGGAGACAGAGAGAAAGTGTTTTCTATCTTCCAGCATAAGTAACTGTAGTTATTTGGTAGCAATTCAAGCCTACCGCAGTCAAAAACTGTGTAGAAGCTGCAAGACGCAACACAAAGGAGGTCTGTAAGACAGCGTTTTCTCCTTGGCAGACAAATAATGGTCCAATCCTGCTGTGAAAGCTCATTGTTAAGAAGTGAAACTGTCTCTCACACTCAACTGAACTCGGGGCTTTCAGTAACCATGCAGGTGTTGCCATTGCACACTTGTTAACTCCCACGACAAGGTAGCATGAACAAGGTGTCTGTCTGGCATGGAGGCGACAGAGTTTACGACTTTACGCTTTGAACTGCAGTAAATATGATCACACACTAGCATCTGTATGATTTTTCCTTCAATTTCGTCACACTTCTCACAATATATTCCAGTGTTACATGTGTTTACTTAGTTAATTTTAGAAAAAGAGAGTCACCCAACTTTTTAATTTTTGCCACAGATCATTTATGATGAAGGGCCGCTATACATCTTTGCCAAAAATGAGGACATTCGGGCTCAATGGATAAAGAAACTCAAAGAAAGTGAGTATATGCACAGAAACGTACAAAGGGTCAGTCAAAGTATCTCGAACAGTATACGCAGTATTAGGTCGTATCTTAACATCACCCAGTGCCTGCACAACAGAAGAGCTGGGTGCATATGCAAATACAAGTGTTGATTTAATGTAAATGGTCTTTGTGTGTGTCTGTGTGTCCATACTTGTGTGTAGTGGTGCGCTTCAACAAGGATCTCATGCAGAAGTACCATCCTTGTTTCTGGGTGGACGGAGTGTGGCTGTGCTGCCAGCAGGAAGTTAAGCAAGCGATGGGTTGCAAGGTGCTGGATAGTAAGAACGGTGAGCGCTTGATTCCCTTTGGTTTGAAATCGCCAACAACTGAAACTTTAATCTATGAATAATTATTTCAATCATGAGATAAATGATGTTGTTAACAGGCTTCACATCTAAACAATCTCGGCGAAGGGGATCCAGGAAACCTCTTCCTCCGACCCCAACAGAGGTGAACACGCAGTCCCTTTAAAGTAACATTCACAGTCCACAGACACCATTTTTAATAACACATCCACTAATCTTGTGTTTTTCCAGGAGAAGTCTGTTCGGCCTTTACCTCCACAGCCTCCTGAGCCACCCGCCCCCTCTATAGGTATGACTGTCATTGCGGAGTACGATTACACACCCATGACACCCCAAGACCTGGCGCTGAGGAAGGATGAAGAGTACACCATCCTGGAGATGTCTGATCAGAACTGGTGGAGAGCCAGAGACAGATATGGGTGAGAGAAAAAATGATGCAACAGGCCCTCAAATGATACAACAAAAAACTAGTCATTTGTGTAGATCAAGTACATTTAATGCATGAAGAGCAGGAGACAGCACTAAGAGTCGACGTGCAGAATATGTGTTTCTTTACGGATCATATTTTTCCGTCAGTTAATCAATCAATCAGTAACCATGGAGTACCATAACCTCTCGGACACATGGACAATTATAAAGCAGCAGCCAACAATGTAAGAAGCTGCAAAAAAGGACTACATTACAGCGTGCATGTTAAAGGGGTTAATTGGAGTTGTACCTTGCATAATTCCATGTGACGAGTAAATGATTGATTGATGTGTTTTTACCGTTGGCTACTCCATCCACTGTGCCATATAAATAAGGAAAAAATAACATTTTACAGCATAATCATTAAAAAAATATTCAAATACTGATGATATGTGATTTGAATGAATTCAATTTGCCTATAAATTTGTGTAAGAGATGCTACTGTGTTCATTTTTGTGAGCAATTTGGTGTTCAGCAAATGTGTACATGTGCTTATATTACTAATAAATGTGTTTTCTTTTGCAGAAAGGAAGGATATATACCTTGTAATTATGTTGTGGAAGCTGTAAATGGGCTAGAAAAATTTGAGTAAGTATGGGCATTATACATTTTACATGTTAAAGGCCTCATTATATGCTCATTTTCACGATCATATCTGTGTTTTGCGTGCCTCCTAGAACATGTTTAAAAGCTTTATTGTTAAAAAAAGGCATTATTTTCTGTCTGAAATGCTTAATTTTAGCGCCTGTCTCTTTAAACCCCCCCTCTCGTAAAGCCCAGTCTGCTCTGACTGGTCAGTGTTTTAAGGTCTTCCACGTAAGTGCACTGTCATTGCAGCAGGGGGAAGGACTGTAATGGCACTGTAGCGGTGCTTTATCACTTTATAGACTCTTTCACTGGAATTGCATTGCTCGGCAGTAACTTGGGTCCAAGTTTACTTCCTGTTAGCTGATGTCATTCACATACAAAACATTTCAACAGGAAATACAAAGGGACCAAGTTTTAAACTGTCTGTACTGTATAATTATGACATCACAACTTCAGAGAGGTGCTGACAGCTCATTTAAAGTCACAGTTTCTAAAGATGGACTGTGCGCATTTCTCTGTGGATTGATATAGTGTTTTATATTTTTACAATGTGGAACCTATTTGTTCCTTGTATGTGCATGGATGTATATTTGATTGCTGAAGCAATAAATGCAATAAATATTCACCTTTCTTTTCACAGCTGGTATTCCAAGAATACGAACCGTAGCCAGGCAGAAAAGCTGTTAAAGACTGAGGTAAACTCACTGACTGACACACACAATGCTGTAGGAGGACACTTTTGATATGTTGATACACCTACATTTTAGTCAAACTTAGCTGGACTAAATTTAATTTGAAACTTAAACATGCGCCCATGTGTTGTTTCCCAGAACAAAGACGGAGGCTTCCTGGTACGGGACTCAAGCAAGGCCGGGAAATACACTGTGTCTTTGTTCAGCAAGGGTGGCGGGTGAGTACTGTAAGCTCAGTGGTGTTAAACAGCGTTGCAACACTGAATCCACTGGCTCCAGTCATGTGTGAACGTATCAAAAGAAGAACTGTTTGTAATGAAAGCGGAAACAGTGGGCCACAGAGGGAGAGAGATGTAAATTATTTATGCAAAACCTGGACTAATCTGCCTGCAGAACTTTTTCATCGCGTCGTTCTGCAAGACTGAGCTGTCTGTGGATAAGGCGGAGAAGATATCATATCATATGTACATGACACAGGGACATATCCCCTGTGTCGATGAAAACATGCGGCTAAATCTACATGAAGTCATTCTTTCATTTCTCTCCACAGGGACACCGGTGGAGGCTGCAGACATTATAACATCTGCACCACCGCACAGGGCCAGTTTTACCTGGCAGAGAAGCACAATTTCAGCAGCATCCCAGAACTCATCAACTACCACCAGCACAATGCAGCAGGTTGATACCCTCGCTGTGAATATATGGATATCTCATAAATGATTTGATATTTGCTGTACTATAATATACAGTCATAATGTAGTTATCACAGCAGGAAAAAGGAAATGACTCAAAGGGGGGAAGGCTATAAAGAAAAGGCAGAAAACAGGATATCAAAAAATGAGAACAATCAAAGTCTGCACATTAAAAAATGTTGACCTTACAGGTTTTGTTCTCTCCCTCACTAGGTATGGTTAGCAGGCTGAAATACATTGTGTCTAACGGTGCACGACCTCCATCAACAGCAGGACTCGGCTATGGTAAGAGACAGACCAGTCGCCAGATTTAAATGTTGGCATCGTACATTTCTGCAAACCACAGATAAGTTACATTTGTACATTTCATCCGTATGACGTAGTTTAGATTATGAACTGAGAAGAGGGAGGGGATGATAGATGGTGTGATACCTTTACACCTACACCAAGACTAAGTCAGCAAGTCACCAAGTCAGTGTTTTCGAACGAGAGTTTGGGACATGTCCAGGCATTTCTGTGGTGACAGGAGCAGGTATTTTAAGCCAAAAAACAATGTTTTCCTGACCCTAAGTGTTTCTGTGCCTAACCCTAACCACATGTCAACGAGCGTTGTCATGTCATAAAACTGAAAATTGAAAAGTCTCAACATAACAGCTACATATGACATGTACAAATGTAACATATCCATGATTTGCAGAAACATACATTGGACTGAAAGAGAAGGACATTATCAGTTTACATTATTACTACATTCTCTTACTAATCATAATGTCTGGTGATTATCAGCCTGGTGACGGATTAGAAATGTCTCTGTGTGTGCAATTTCAGCTAGCCAGTGCTATATCGTAGACAACTGGAATTGCTTGAGTTTCTTGAAGATGTTTCACCTCTCATCAGTTGAAAGACCTCTTGGATGAGAGGTGAAACATCTTCAAGAAGCTCAAGCAAGTCCAGTCTACGATATAGCACTGGCTAGCTAGCTCGCACAGGATTACCACGGCCTGGATGACTGAGAATCTTCTTCACCAACATACAGCTAGTCTGACTCTGTTCAAAGGACACAAAATCTCATGAAAGTTCACAAATTAACATGTTATATTTTGTTTGTTTAATCTGTACCAAAAAACACATGGTCAGCCCTCTGTGTTGGACTGCTTTCTGACCAGGAGCAAAAATCCTGTGTGAGTTTGTTGGCCCATGAAGGAACTACCTTTAGAATAAATCTATATAATCTTGCAGTAACTGCTTGATAGTCAATGTGTCCATAGGGTTGTTCCTGTCCCAAAACACTCTTTTGGGAACAACTGTCTTCTTCTTGATAAAAATAAACCCAGCCATAGTACGCTTTGTTGAGATTAAGTAGCTGTTTATGGTTCCATAAGTTTCCCTCAACATTTCTTCTTTAAGTTGTCGCTAAGAACAATTGCGCATCGCCTATCAGATTTTTTAAGTTACAATAACACAGCATAGGGAAGAAAACTCAAGTATTAAAGGAAATATCCTAAGGACAGGATTTAAAGTAGCACAACTATTTTTTTATAAGGAAACCATAAACCTTAAATTAAGATACTTCATGCCACCAGCTACTGCAGTCTTGTTTCACCAAGTTGCCAGGCAACCAGTAAAGACTCCAGAAAGTCACATAAAGCTCCAGTAAAATTACAATGTCTTTTCTTTCTTCACTTTTTTGTATGGATTAAACACACTAAATAAAATGTGGTAATTAGTGCACATCAGAGGTGCTCACAGACAGATTTTGTCACCTTTTAGGCACACTGTTTCTTTGAAGTCTTTAAAGCTAAACGGCTCCTGGCCAAAGTTTCATATAGAGATGATAGTGGTTTATTTAATGTGGATTTTGCAAGTATAAAGTGCTCCTCCATTCTCTCGTGTTTCAGGCGTGTGGGAGATCGACCCTCATCATCTCACCTTTATCAAGGAGCTGGGCACTGGGCAGTTTGGAGTGGTGAAGTACGGAAAGTGGCAGGGCCAGCACGACGTTGCCATTAAAATGATTAAAGAGGGATCCATGTCAGAAGACGATTTCATAGAGGAAGCTAAAATCATGATGTAAGCATGACTTAATGAGTCTGAATTTGGTGTCTTTTTATTTGATCATTCAGCTGCTATGCATGATTTGACTGCAGTTGAAATGACAATGATGATTTTGTTGTGCTAGACTCATAAAACTGTCATGTGTCACACTGGGAAGTGTAGTTTATATAGCTTCGTGAGAAAAACCAACACATAATACTTAACTTCCTTCTCGTTTTGCTCAAACTAGGAAGCTACGCCATGAAAACCTGGTCCAGCTGTACGGCGTGTGCACCAAACAAAGGCCCATTTATATCGTGACTGAGTTCCTTTCGAACGGCTGTCTGCTCACATACCTCAGGGAGGGCCTGAAGCAGCACCCAACAACTGTCCAGCTCCTAGAGATGTGTAAAGATGTCTCAGAGGGCATGGCGTATCTTGAGTCACAGCAGTACATCCACAGAGACCTGGTGAGAGACACAGATCTACTGTTGTATGTATAACACATTCCAGATCATTATATCACTGCATGTTTAGATATACTGGGATTACTTATTTAAAGATAACAGTAAATGTTTAATGATTAGACTTAAATCAAGAGTGTTGTTTGTTTTGTCCTCAGGCTGCCAGGAACTGTTTAGTAGATGGGAATGGCACTGTCAAAGTGACTGACTTTGGACTGTCAAGGTAAAATACTTCACATGCCTTACAGGACAAATAGAAGCACACAATGGCAGCTATTAAAGTACTTAAAACCCCCTTAATTTGTTTTCACGACAGTGATGGAAAGTAACTCAGTACATTTACTCAGGTACTGTAGTTAAGTACAATTATTAGGCACTTAACTTTAGTATTTCTAGTTTATATTCCACTACATTTATTTTACAGTTTTAGTAACTAGTTACTTTGTATTAGGGCTGGGTGATATGGAGAAAAATCTAAAATCACCATATGTTTGACCGAATAACTCGATATTGATATTGCGCCGATATTCTAGGGTTCTCTATTGGTGCTTTTAGAAAATATTTACACAATGACATTTTGCAAGTCATCATTAATGGGGATATAATGACGAAGCAAGTTGAGGCAAACAATAAAACAGCTAGAACAGACACTTATGATATTACGATATCCAAAATCTAAGACAACATCTAGTCTCATATCATGATATTGATACAGGATTCCCGGGTCATGGAAAACCTGGGAAAGCCATGGAATTTCACAGTCATCGAAAGTTTTGGAAAAGTCATGGAATTTTGTTGTGTGTAATGAACTGTAAAATAACGGCAAATATTTTCTGTAGCTGTTGACATAATGTTGCTCTGATATGCATCCACGTGTTACCATTGCGTACGTTTCTTTAATTTTCTCCACGCATTCTGTCTCTCCCTTTGTGTATGACAGCTAGCTGAAATTAATTTAATAGAGTTTGAATCTAATATGTTTAAAAAACACCAGGCAAGTTTGGAAAGGTTTTTTTCCCTTGTAAAGTCATGGAAACGTTCTCAAATTTGTCCATGAAAATATGTGGGAACCCTGTTGATATCATTAAATTGCCTAGCTAAACTTTGCATATCAAGATTTTATATACAATCATATCAACTCGAACCTGAAACAGTAAAGTAGTTAAAATTATCTCCACCTTGGCCAACTACAACAGTAAATTGCTATGTAAAAATGAATGCATAAGTAATACTTACATCCAATAATATGACGTATAATGAAACAACATTAACAGGGCATTTTGTCTTCACAAGCACTATTACTTTTGATACTTTCAGTACATTTAGTTGACAATCGTTCTGTACTATAACTTTTGTTAAATGCAGAACTGGTATGTATATGTAGGCTGTGGATTTGTTTTACATTGTGGTATTTGTACTTCTACATTTTAAATGAGAGGTCTGAATATTTCTTCCTCCACTGCCTTAGATATGTCTTAGATGACGAGTACACCAGCTCAGCAGGTTCCAAGTTTCCTGTTCGCTGGTCACCTCCTGAAGTCCTCCTCTACTGCAAATTCAGCAGCAAGTCGGACATATGGGCGTATGGTGAGTAAGCACAATGTACAGTTTGCATTTCTGGTCAGTTGTAAGTGTAATCTATGTTGACATGTCTTCACAAACTATGAATTTACATCTATGTTAAAACATCAGAACTTTTTTTGGTGTTTAAGGTGTTCTTATGTGGGAGGTGTACACTTTGGGACGGCTTCCGTATGAGCGCCTTAACAACACGGAAATAGTGGACCAGGTGTCCCGGGGCCTGCGCCTCTACCGCCCTCAGCTGGCCAATGAAAGAGTCTACAGCATTATGTCAAGCTGTTGGCTCGATGTAAGTGAATGTTGTGGGCCTTAGAGGAGGTTTCAAAGAATGATAACAGTATCCAAAAATATTTTCCGAACACCAGTCTCACCTTTTGTTTTTTTTTGTTTGTTTTCAGAAAGCAGATGAGAGACCTAACTTCCAGGAGCTGACATTGACTGTTCAGGATTTGCTGTATGAGCTCCAGTAGACCTCAAAATAATCACAACACACCAACAGTTCACTCACATCCCCACAGAGCTGCATCTCCATCTGTCCCTGGAGAGTTAAAAACAATCAATAAAACAATTTACAGCTTGGACATGGGACCGCACAGCCACACTGAAGTCCTCTGTAATGTGAATATGTTTATTGTGAATGTCCTTTAACTCTTGATTAGAATTGCCTTCCTGTTGCATCACTAGAGGTCTTGCGGGCTGGCATTTATAATGTGTACATTGTATTGAAGGCTATGTGTTTTTATTGTATCATGTGTAGTGTATTGTGTGGAATCATTGTGAAATGTAGACACCTTTGCAAACAAGCTTTGTGTGAATATATATTGCACAAATAAAAGCCAAGTATGCCAGGCTTTAAAATGACTGAAACATCATGTGACACAAACATCTGATTAAACTCACATTATACTCTAATATAAACTGTTTCCATGTTACAATAACACTTTTGCATTAATAAGTTGATTTTAGCTTTTTTTGACTATTATGAAAAACTACGTCTGTATGATGACACCGGCTGTCAGAACAACGCGCTCTGTGATTGGTTGAGCTACTTCCTGTTTCCTGTCGTCCATTCATACACGTGAAGGTCAGCTTTTAGAGCCATACGGTGTTCATAATTGGCAAAATATTGCCCTTAGGACCCCTTTTAAGCAAAATATGGACGGCCAGGGAGCGACAGCCGACCCTCAGCTTCAGCACTTCATCGAAATCGAGTCTCAGAAACAGAGATTTCAGCAGCTGGTGCATCAAATGACTGAGGTTTGCTGGGTAAGATCAACTTAAGCTAACTAGCATCACAGCTCTGCGAGTTAAACATATGTGTCCGCAGCTAGAAGTGATAGCTGGCTTGTCCTGTGTTGTCATAAAAGTTTGAGATGCTTGTGTAATTCGCTGTGGTCACATAATGATGTATAAATGTATACATTAGCTTACGTTTGTGAACCATAGCACTCCATGAGTGATTCGTTCATATAGCGTTAGCATTCCGTACACAAACCTAGAGGGTAAACAAAGGGTTATGTTTACCTGCCATTCAGCTGTTGGTTGTGTTCTCAAGTGTCTTTGTGTTCTTTAAAATGTCTTTTTCTGTCCGGGACGATAAAATGTTTATGAAATACACGTTTAGATCTATACTGCTAGCATGCTATGACCGTTAGTTAGCCGGCCTGCTAGCTAGCGCAGCTTAGAGTGTGTAAATGTTGGATTTAAACGTTGGTTTCGTCCATGACAAACATTTTAACATACCGGACTGAAAGTAGACATCTTCGAAACCAAGAAAATACACCGACTTTCCAAGCTGCTGCCATAAAACGGGTTTTAAACGGTTTTTAACTTCCCTCCTCTGTTTGTGATTGGAGCGTTGCGCGAGCGTATCATTTAAATAACGTAGTGCTGAGGTCACAGCTGGTGCAAGGGCACGCGCTGCTGTCAGATAACCAGTACACGCTGCAACGTTAATTCATCATGGTTTTAACAGGCTAGCTCCTGTGCTAAATGTGATGCGCTATGTGTAACACACCGTGTCTCATTGGTGTCTGTCTCTGTCTGTCCCCAGGAGAAATGTATGGACAAACCAGGGCCAAAGCTGGACTCAAGGACAGAAGTGTGCTTCGTTAACTGTGTGGAGAGGTTTATTGACACCAGCCAGTTCATCCTAAACAGACTGGAACAGACTCAGAGGAGCAAGGGCTCTTTCTCTGACTCCATGGCAGACTGAGAACTGTCTCCAGAGGGACTGACGAGACACATGGCTCCACGGCCAGGCCTGACAAAGTTGTCTGTAATGAACTGTCCATTCAACTGGGAAAAAAAAAGAACAATATGAAGTGTTACTTTTGATACAAGTGCCTCAGATTAATATAGGTGCAGAAGTCTTGCTTGTCCTCCACTTAGCGGAATATGAGTGTTAAAAACACTAAGCTTGTGGTCCTGCAGTGACCTTGTTTTTCACAAGTCAAACTGTGAAACTGAACTTGAATGTGTTGATATCCGCTGCTCTAACAAGTGTGAGAGTGCAGAAAGACATCTGGGACACTCAGCTTCAGCCAGCTGTTTTTGACAGCTACAAGGACTACACCACACACTCTGCTGTAATTTAACAAAAGTAACAGTGTCTTCCCGAAAGCGAAGGCAGTAGGTACTGGACTGTACATATGCAATAAACACAATGCCAAATAATTCTGTCTCTTTTGGAAAAAAAGAGTAGTCAAGTTGTGTCGTAATTATGTTTTAATCAGCATTATCAAACACATAAAAAGTTAATTTACATCAGAGATATGTTACAGCTTGGCACATGTTGGGAATTAATCCACGCAGGGAAAAACATTCTTTGGTGCAGGTTGTATATAATACTGAGGTATTACTCATCTTACTCAAACTTGTTCATCATCAGCAGATGATTGAAATGCATTCAGGGCATTTTTTTGCATTTACACTGGTTGTAAAATCATCATTTGTACAATATGCTTAGTTAAAGGTGCAACCTATAAATAAGGTTATTGGTTTCAGTAACAGAAGGCACAGTCTGGTTTACGTAGGCTACTATTCAACCTTCAATTAATTTTTTTTAACTTGATAAACTGTAAAAAAAAAAAATTTACACAGCAGTGCGACAAACATTCACGTTGATATAAATTATACTTTAGATTCTAATACTGTCCTGTCTTTTTTTAACTAAAGATGTGGATGTACCGTCATGGTCAAGAAATCCAGTGTGCTGACAGAAACATTTTGTTCACTTTGGGCAACTTTGTTCATCCAGTGCGTACTGCATTGTTTAAGACCGACTCAAGACTCCGATTTAGTAAACTAACTTGTCACACTGACTACGTTTACATACACACTAATATTCCACTACGAATGTAGCATTTTCCAATGAAGACGTGGGATATGCCGTTACTATTCCGGTTTTAACAGCATTCCTTAAACATGTAGACAGCTTGTTCTGAACATGCATCTAAAGTGGGGTTTTTACTGCAGCTGACGACATATAGCCTTTTGTCCGTTTACAGCTGGCTCTGTGCGTTACCATGCATGTGTTATACACAAACAGCTTGCAAAGACAGAGATGCAACCCCAAAAGAAATGCCCACATTTCTGGTTAGAAGGAGAAACAGACCTTCTTTTAAACACAAAGAAAGACTTGGATGTCAGCAGGTTTTTGGAGATGTGCAAATGTCGCAACGCCGACCTTTTCAGGAAGGTGGTTGCAGGAATAAAAAGGGAGATTGTGTTTGCACAGTCGAACAAGTACGCCACTGTGGAGAACTTATTTTGACACAAGGAGGCAAATGGCACAAGCAACCCCAGCTGTTCCACTTTTCCATATTTTCACCCAATACAGGACATGTTACTGGGTATTTATTTTCATTAGCCATGGAAACAGCCATGTCTTATAGGAGTAGCATTCCTAAGGGCAAAAATTGGAATATTTTGTGCATGTAAACATAAAGCTGTACTGTGCATTAAAGTTTAAGAATTGCAAAAAGCAATTTTCCTCAGTAGTGACAACACTATCGGTCCCCCTTACGGAGCCCTCTGATGCATACCCCAGCCCCCCTTTGAGCCTCCCTCTCTGGGCAGCTTCACATCATCCTCTGCTATCATGTCGTGGCTGGGAAGAGCCACATAAGGCTGCTGCCCCCACGGAGAGCCCTGAGGACCCTTCCTCAGGTAGAGTGGGAGGGAATCACAGTTAAATGTAATGTCCTTGAAGGCGTGGAGGAGGAAGATCCCCAAAATGATGGTGAGGAACCCGCTAATTGTTCCCACGATCCCGTCAGTGGTCATTCTCAACCATTCCTTGAAGAGGATGGCTGAGCAGGCCATGACGGCGGTGGTGAAGAAGACGTAGTATATGGGAGTGACCATGGAGGTGTTGAAGATGTCGAGCGCTTTGTTCAAGTAACTGATTTGAACGCTGATGCAGATTACCAGGCAGATGACTAAAGACCAGAACAGGGGTTCCTTCAGCACTGCTGTCCCAGCAAACAGCTCCTTAATGCCAATGCCCAGGCCCTTGACACAAGACACAGACAGGGAGCCAATCACAGAGCAGATCAGGATGTAGACCAGCACATTCTTCTGTCCAAACTGCGGCGCCACAGCAAAGATAAGAACCAGGCTGCTTCCCACAACGCACACAGCAAACACAATGAAACCTAGTGGGAGCATTTGAGAATGAGTTAGTACCCTGGAAAAAAAAGTCAATCCCTTATCTGGGATGCAGTTTCCACAGCAGGGTTAATGAGATCACACTGAGAAAGAGCTGGTCCTACCTGGGTCTTTGAGCTTTTCAGCCATGGCACTGAGAGAGGCCACCTCCTCCTCCTGTGGGGCATGGATCACCATCACAGTGGAGCCCAAGACACACAGCAAACAACCGATCTTCCCGTGCACATTCAGCCTCTCGTTCAGAAAGTAAGAGGAGAGCACAGCACTAGGGGGAAAAACAAATGTTGCAAACTCAGAGAGTGAACACAAATGTTGCTACTGCATATTAAAAGGGTTAATCTGGTAACATTCTATATTTCCATTGTTATCATATCTCGTGAAAAGACCAAAACCAGTAATGCATTAGCCAGCATCTCAGTAATTATGATTTCCACTTCTCTGGCTCTCAGCCAGAAATCTATTTTTCTTAAAGAAGAGGTAAGTCTTTAACAATGAGTTAAGTTTAAAACATATACTTTAATTTTAAATGTTTTAAACTGGCTACATTATTCCCTTACACAGCTGGGCACTGTAGCATTTAGCATAGATTGCTCAAACAGGAGTAAATATCATAGTTAGACTATTTTCTATTGCAGATTTAGTGCTCCAGTGCAGTGGTTTCCAACCTGCGGGTCCCAAGCTACATCTAAAGGGTCACCAGGTGAATAGGAGGAATAGGGAAAATGTTGTTACACAAAACTAGATTTATTTTATTGACTATTATATGCTTTTTGCTTAGTTTGAAAGGGAAAAAACTGGTTTGAACTGGTCACAAATCACACCAACACTAAGGCAAAAACCTGTGATGAGGGGTCACAAGGAGACATTCAGTACATTTACATGCAGCTTGAGAAGAACGAATTATTGGCTCAGTCCAACTGAAACTGGACTATCGGTACCTCGACTAACACACCTAGATAATTCGACTGAAAATCAAACTATTGCTGCATGTATCCACTTAGTCCGACTGGAATCGGACTCTGCATTCTGCGCATGCACCACTTTTTCTTTCGCGGGCTTTCACCCGGAAGAAGAAGGAGATGACGTAGCAGCAGTTCAGTATATAACAGTGCAGTAACTCTCGGAAAAACAAACACCATGGCGACCGAGAAGCAGAAGACGCACTTCTGGTCAGACGAGGAAACTCCATCCATCTC